GGGTTTGTTCTTCGCACTTTCTCTCTCTATGACTCTGTTTTTGCTCTGGAAATTCGTCTCCCTCTTCAAAGACCTGAAATTGGGTTAAAACCCAGAATTCCCCGACCACACGGCCGTGTGGAATCCCCAGCTGCCCGTGTGAAATCCCAAAACGCGGCGTTTGATTAAGTGACACAATGTACGCTGCATGGTCAGAACGACACGGCCGTGTAGAAATATGGCCTGCCCGTGTGTACTCTCTGGAAATCCCACACGGCCAAAAGTGGCCCTTACACGGCCAGTGTGGCCTGCCCGCGCAAAGAAGTGCCACACGGCCAAGTCACATGGCCGTGTGGAATTCTGGCCTGGCCGTGTGGTTTCCTCAGCTTCTCGCCAAACGTCCCTACTTCGTCCAATCGACCTCGAACTCGTGCCCAAACCTTCATTCATGTACTAGGAGTTGAAATATCACAAACAAGAACAACCTAGCGTGAAATCGGCTTAAAACACCAGAAATGAGACTCAAACGGTATAAGAATGGTGGACAAAAACATGTGTATATATCAAGTCATCAAGTACCTAATTGATGCAACCTTCCGATCAATTGGATCTCGCATGTGGTGGTGAAAGGAAATTCACTTATACAATGGCGTTAATCAGAACTAATTAGGTGTGTTATATTTCGGTCCGAGTCCCGTGTTCTTCTTGTTTGAATAGTTGTAAGTAAGAATGACGGTGTAGTTCGTAATGTAATTGTAGCAGATGCTTAAATAGTGGGAAGCATTCGATATAACTATAAATATGGTATTTGTTCTTTGTTGATATGTTAACTGTATGTACTTTGTTAATTTCAATATGCGAATATTGTATTTGTTCTTTAGTAATATGCTAAAAGTTTAGTGTTAGAACTAACACATCAATATTGAATGTGTTCTTCGCTAATATGGGAAGTGTAAGTTTTCAATTTCAATATGTGAATATTGAACTTGTTCTCTATTAATATGCTAAAGATTCTTTGTTAATTTAAAAACATGAATACTAAATTTGTCCTTTGATAATATGGTAACTGCTCGTTGCTAATGCGGACTGAAAATATAGTAGTGGCCCTGGTAGTGCAAGACGATCCTGTAAACAACATAGATTTATACCTGATGCAATTGCAATTTCATATGACACCACTATGATGAAAATGAAATAACATAGAGGCAGAATGACATTGTAAGATCCGTCACAAGATAGCAAGTATGTAATCAATACAGAATTCCACCGATGCATTGAATTGCAACATGATATGACAGTATTTGCAAATCATATGATAATTGGGGCCTCAAAACTCCAACAACACCAGGAGCAATGAACTTCCTACAACTAACTTGTAGGAGTTACTTATAATCAAAATTATGGTGGCTTCCCCAGTTGAAAGGATTAGTTCATGGAGGATGCCACATACTGGCTTTCCTGGGACATAGACCGCTAGTCGGGAAATTGACAGTCAAAGGTAAACTGAAACTGGAATTGGGTCCTGTCTCTAATTACAACAGCAACCCTAGCATACTTGTTCTTGGTAATATCAACTTTTTGACGCCTAAGTGACTTGAACCACTTCTTTGTAGCTGCAACGGTGTTCACTCTGTGCTTCAGAGTCAATGAATTAACCTGCGCTGTGGATGACGTTGTCCGACCTGGACATGGCCCTAAACTTTTAACAAACTCTAATTCATATACTCCAATTCATACATATCGCAAGGAAGACTAACAAGTTGTTAAGCACACGTGAATTATGAAGGGCGGACAACAAAATAGATTGGATATTCGAATGATTAAGTGGTACATATGAGGATGTTGTTTGCCCTTACTACGATGTCCACCCCTATTAGGCCCAAGTCTTTTGGAGGCTAGTGAGGTATTTGCCAACAAGTTGGAATCATTTGGCGTATACTTCATCGTCTTGACTCGATAATTTCAGTGAAAATTCATGTATGGTTGCAGATATCTCTCTATACCTTTGGGACTGATTATCTGCAGCTGTTAGGGGAACTGAAGGCGGAGCAGCATCCGGTATTCCTAGAAGTAATTTTTTCTTCACATCCTTCCTCCACTTGGGTAATATTAAGTGGTCTGGAAGTTCAGCAATGTTTGCATTCCCAGCAGACCAGAGGTGGTCCATAACCTTCAGGATATAGGCGCATGGATATCCTACGGTGGGAAAAAGGCGACACCGACACTCTAGTTGTGTGCTGGGGACGTGAACACGGATGACATGTTCATCATATTGCTCCCCTACTTTGGTCCTGGATACAAGATAACCCCTAATGTCGTTGTCATTGTCAACAAAGACCTCACGTATCTGATACTCCAAAATTTTCACGTGTTCTTCGTGCAAACATGTGAAAATGCTTGGTGTAAAGATATCTGACGCCTTTCTTGCAAGTAGGCTGCGGTATAGGACTAAGAATCTTCTGCCATTTATGCCTCTGTAATCTTGCTCGACCTCCTCTGCCCTTCTCAACATCAACATGCTGCAAGACAATAGACAAATAGATCAACTAGTATTCACTGAATTTTTGGGTGTAAAGGCTTTATAAAATATGTACCTGTTGAACCGGGTGAAAAAGACATCAAAGTTGTAGTCCCCAAGAAGGAACGACTTCATAGATGCATTGCACGCCTCACTGGCCTGCGTAGTTGTCATCCCAGCTATGAAATTCCTTTTTAACCATTCTGAATACCACTTCTCGCGTAGTTTTAAAAATTGACTCAGCCAATAGGTCCCACTTTTAACATCCACACCGGGGAAGCATTCCTCGATCATAGTAGCCCATGCTATTTCAAACTCTTCTGCGGTATCGACATGATAGAACGGGTACATCATGTGATCCTTAAATTCATGGGTGCGGGAAATTGAGCCAAGATGTTCCTCAACATTTAATCTCAAGTGCCAGGTGCACAACACATGATATGTAGAAGAGAAATTGGACTTTATGGCAGCAGCGATGGCAACATCTTGATCAGTGAACAAGGTTGTTGGCTCCTTGCCCTTCATGCAATCCAAGAAGTTCGAAAACAACCACTAAAGGGAGGGAATCGTCTCATCGTACATCAGACATGCTCCGAAAATCATCACTTGTCGATGGTGATTGAGCCCGACAAAGAGAGCTGACATTATAAGTGAAAGATAACAAAGCAAGATTGCTTGCTTCTTTTAGATTAAGATAAAAAACGCATTACCAAATGCATTTCCAACAGGCGCCATCAGATAACTACGTTAAAGTGTATATCTAAGGGACGATATTCGTTGTTTGTTCTGAAGGTCGTATCAAATGAGACAGAATCACCAAATAGTTCGTAATCCAACTGCATTGTTTGGTATGCCCAGAAAATGTTCGCAATCTGCTCGCATGAATCAACCTCCACATTGTAGAAGAATGATGGTTCCTTCTTTTCATCTTTCCGGAAGTATTCTTTGAGAAAGGTCAGTTCACCGTGCCCCATATCCCTCTGCCTTCTCCTACAAAGGTGGTTCTTTTGATCATTTCTTGTGAAACCAACTTTTGTGGGCCCTCCACCGGTTCGGACCATAGCCTCGTATGAGGATTTGAGCTTCACTCCAGCATCTGCATTGTCTTCGATCACTTTTGCTTGAGCAGCAAAAATCATTCATTTGTTGATCAACAGGTGCCTGTGATCCTTACCGTGGATTTCATGGTTGTGGTGGCCATCAAATTCACAAATAGAATACATTGAGGTCATAATCCCAACTGAATTTCACAGGTGCTTCACAGCCCAATCTTAGTTCGTTGCGCAGCCTCTCCGGAATGAGAATTGTCCATTTGGGACTCGAGGAGTCTATCAGACCTCTTGGGATTGTTTGGGCTACGTCTGCTAAAGCCTTTCTTGTTGCAGCAGAAGTGAAGATGGTGGTAGAACTTGTGGGATTCACCATTTGCGTTACTCAAGCGCTTCCACTTCCAATTTTCAATTCAGTTAGAAAATCCCTTGAAGTGAGCATAACTCCTATACAGCCAACGGCACTGCTCAGGAGTACGAGGCTTGATACAATGGCGTTGATCCTCAATATCTACCAATGGTATCCAAGTCTCTGCAACGAAATAATTGTCTCATCAGCAAGGTAAATACATTCCCCTTCAGCGTAGATAATATTCACTAAGGCTGGAAACGGTATTTCAATAAAAAGCAAACAACATTCATTAATACAACACAAACCCAACAGAACATTCCCACCTGTTGTACTCAATAAATGCAGAGGAATCTTCTTTCCTCATAAATGCTTCAATAAATTCGCAATCATATAAAACCCAATAGCTGCCTAGGTTGAGAAAACGTACCCAGCTCCTTCTATTCTTCCATATCTTTATCCAAGTCCCCATTGTCAGCATTCTGTGATCCAAACGGCGCAGGTGAGTAAATTCATTATCAACAACAAAACAGAAACAAACATGCATCATCTTGCTCACCAGATCCTCCAAACAAGGCTCCTCGGCAGGTGGAGGCGGCTCATTAAGTTCTACTCTGGTGAAACTCATTATCTTACCCCATAGGTAGAAGACGATGGCGCTTTCCACTGAAACGATACGACCTCTCCTTATCTCTCCGCCTTTTCCCCTTCTTCTCCTTTGACGCCTCTCCTTATCTCCACCCTTATTTCTCCGCTACTCTATGCTTGAAGAAAACCCTAAACTCCCTGGTCGAAGAAAATCCTAAATTAGGGTTCATTAGACATTACAACTCGAATGGGGCGCGGGATTGTGGTGGGGCAAAAGGATTGGGCCAGGGATTCGAAAATTAAAATTCGAATGGGGTAGCGGGATTTGGAAAAGAGGAAGCGGGAGCTAAATGATTTGGCGGGCGACTCAATTTTGGAAACGGAAGAGAGGCTTGTGTTTTACGAAAACAAAGCAACGGTTCATGTTCTATCGACTCGCAACGGAGATGAAAACGAAGCAGGGCAATGGCCACGCAAGCATTCGACCAAGAGAGGGTCATATTTTACGAAAGCAGACATGACCGACAACGACTGGCCCCCACATTTCATTAACAAACCCAAAAATCCATCTCATCCGCTACTGGAGCGTGTCCTTCATCCTGCCCGTTGGGAGGAGGTCCTCCCAACACTAGGTGGTAGGTGGGAGGACCTTAACTTTTCTGGGTGTATGGCTCCCCGCCAGGCCGCCACATACTCTCTCACTCTCAGCCTCTCCTGGTCGGTCGGTCATTGCCCTCGCCCTGTAAGCAGAAATTAGTGGCCGACTATGCCGCCGACGACCGAGCCTTCTCCCGACCATGCTTCCACTTCCTCGGGCGATAAAAATTCCGACCCTCTCCGGCTCCTGCTGCTGCTCCCGAGGTTTGTAGCCATCGGTAACTATTTCCCACCCAGCAATTTTTAGTTTTCTCTCCGGCATCTTACTCTTGGGAAGAACTGAAATCAGTGATATGTAGTTGAAGAATCAGTAAGGGATTTCTGAAACTGAGGTTTGATAGCCATTAGGCTTTACAACCACTATCACCATCACGAAGGTTTTGTCAGAGTATCCTGAGGTGAAAATGACCGATGAGAAGCAGGAAGCTTCGTTAGGAGAAACCTACCCCGAGCTGATGAAAAGCTGGAGGATGATGGTATGCTTCTGCACCCCCTTTGCTTTCTTTTGTTGTTTGAGTTGGCTGTTTCTATTCTATCTGCTCGTGACCTGTATTTTAGGAAACTGGTATCATGAAGGCGATGGCAGGGAATCTTTGCCCTTATGTAATAGTATGAAGTCACGATAACCATTTATTAGTGAAACCATGATCAAAACTCCATAAGTCATGAAAAAGAGAAAGCTGGTAGTTTCACCTCCTTAGGATTTTTGGGATGTGATGTGGGATGGGACGAAGTTATGACTTGAGCTGAACTTGCCTGGAAAATTGGACAGGTTGATATTGTAGACTTCGTGATGATAGTAATTTATACTGTTGCTCCATTGTATTGTCCACTCTCAACCATTGCTTAACAAAAGCTCATTTTGCTTCATTGTGCAGCTCTTCTTAGTTTTGGTGAAGGTCCGCCGTTTACCCTGCAAAGGCTATGTGAGGTGATTCCATCTTTAGATTGCCTTAGTCCTACTTATTCAGTAATTGATGGAAGATATGTTTGCTTAGTTACATCAGTTGTTGAATTGGCAGCTGAGCTCATTGTATGTAGCCAGTCTGGTCTTAGTGGAGTAGTTGTGTAAGTCCAGTTATAAGCAGGGGGACCCCTTTTCTGGGGTCGATATATAGAAATAGAGGTGGTTATTTTTTTCGGGCTTTGGAAAAATTGCCAAATGCTGATGCTTAGGTAGAGACGCATAGACATTCTCTATCTCTTTGTCAATTATACTGATCTAGGTGTACATTGTCTATGTTAGCCTAGCTTCTCGTTTCAGCGGTCAGACTGAGGTAGTATTAATTATCATGCTTTTTTAGATCATGACTGCAAAGAGCATATACCCAAATCTCTCAAAGCTTGCTCTAGCTCTAGGAAAGGTTAGTTGGCTTTTACTTCTCTTCATGTTTATATACACGCAGCTTGTTTTTTTTTTTTTTGGTTCTTGTAATGTAACTATGTAAAACTCACTTACATTGCAGAATTTGTTAGTGACCTCAACGTTGGCTGCTTGTACGGATCCACATCCACTAGCGACTCAAAAGCAGGATGAAACTGACAAAGCAAGTCCAAACCAGCAGCATCGATCCAACTCGGAACAAAATGGAGTCCAGCAGTCTACAGCAGCAGATGGGGATGAAATAGTGGCCGAGATCGAGACTGATTGGCGATGAGATAATTATTGACACAGAACCCTTCGAAGAAATGAAATGGATCGATCTCCGGAGACAAATTTATGCAACAATCTTGAAAATCCTAACCAACCTCTGTATGTACTATCACCTTATCAGTTATTTAGATTCTTAAGATCATGATTCCTTTTTTTGAGCATACTTGGATTCATTACTGTCCCACATGCCTGAGACTGGAAACTGATGGTCGATGTACCAGTTGATAAGAATCATCAAGTGGTTATTCATGATTATGTAGGCATCACTTACTTTCAAGTCGAAATGAATGGAATATTACGAGTAGATGGATTGAGTTCATATTGTTTTTAGGAAACACTGATTTTGAAATCTATTGCTTCATTGATTGGTTGTTGAATTTTTGCGATGGATTGTGTCATGTGGAGCTTGCGATGGATCGTTGTATCAACCTGTTCATTGAGGATAATATGGCAAAGTAGATTGATGTATTCAAATCTTTGATTTACAGATCAGTTTAAATGTGAATCCATTGGGGATCGAATCCATCACTTGTTGCTTGTTGGTGAGCCAATGAATTGATTTGAAGCTATCGATTATTATGCTTATGGATTCTGAGAACCATCAGCCAAAGGAGCTCATTGTATAGCATGTGACACATTCAAGATTATTGATCCATATCAAACACTGTGGATTGAGTTACACATCCAAATTCATTATATATCCACAAGAAGGCAGTGCAGAACTCTTGCACTATGCATTATGCAAGGTGTTGGTATTACTACGACGACGAGGCTTTCACCCTGGGCGACAACTTGACTTCGAGCGGGTGCTTCATAACAATGGTAAACTCAGGCTTCTCCGTGAGATCGACCTCCCCAGCAGCTTCCCACTTGAAGTTCCACACAAGATTAGCCACAAAGTATTCAAGATGCAGCATGGCTAGGGCATACCCAGGACACATCCTCCTTCCTGCACCAAATGGCATCATCTTGATCTCCTTGCTTCCAGTCAAATCGAACTCACCACCACCTTCCAGGAACCTCTCCGGCTTGAACGCCATGGGATCCTCCCAAACCTGAGGATCCCACCCCAGCTCAGCCACCATGAAGTTTACAGCAGCATTCTTGGGGATCATGAACTTGCCGTCCAGCACTGTATCCTCCGTCACGGAATGAGGCAGCAAGAAATGTGCCGGCGGGTGTCTCCTCAATCCTTCCAAGCTCACCGCCCTCAGGTACTTCAGCTTCCCCAGATCCTCCTCCAAAACCTCTCCACTCCCTTCCACCACCACGCTTTCGATCTCACGAAACAGCTTCTCCTGAACTTCAGGGTACTTCACCAAATTCGCCATGACCCACTCCAATGCGGTGGTGGTCGTGTCAGTCCCCGCGCTGAGGAACTCGGAGGACAGGCTCAGAATCTCGTCCTCGCTGAGCATTCTCTTGTTACCATTATCTTGGGGGAGCTCCACTTCGAGCAACGAATCCACGTAGCAGCTCCGTGCTTGTTCTTCTTCCTCCTCCAATTTGCCAATTTTCTCCCTCCTGGCTCTGATGAGTGGGAGGAGAACCTGATGTTGCTCGTGACGGAGCTGATGAAATTCATTCCACGGGCGGCGGAGGAGGAACCTAGTGACCCGAGGCCAGAGGTTGAGTATCTGAAAGCGCTGGAATCCAAGCAGCATCCTTCTCTGAGCTCGTCCCACCTCCTCGATCTGATCCTCACCCAGCCTGTCGCCGAAGCACATGAGCACCAGCAGGGCGAACATGGCGTGGTGGAGGTGATCCTTCAGCCTCAGGGTGCTCTGTTGTTGTTGATGGTGGGCTTGAAGGCGGCGGAGGAGGATTTGGAGGACCCAGGAGCGAGCGCGGGAGAATGACCTGACGCGGGAAGGGTGGAGGACTTGGGAAGTGAGGTTGCGGCGGAGGAGGCGCCAGGTGAGGCCGTAGGAGGCGGAGCTGATGTTGTGCTGGTTGGCAGAGGTGATTTTGGAGAGCGGCGGAGCGGGCGGGCGGTCGGCGAAAACGGCGCCGTCTTGGATGAGGGCTTGGTGGGCTAGGGAGTGGGAGGAGATGAAGATGGCCGGACGGGAGAAGATGCGGATTGTGAAGATGGAGCGGTACTTGGCGCGGAGCTTGCGGAGGGCTGGTTCGAGGTCGGAGAATCCTTTGCTTCGCAGCATCCAGAGGAAGGTGCCGATGATTGGGATGGAGAAGGGTCCTGGTGGGAGCTTGTTGTTGTGGGATGGGAAGAGGTGGGTTTTGCAGAGTAGGAGAGCTAGGGAAGATACAAGGGAGGTGATGATGGCGCCGATGATCCAGCTGGTTTCCTCCATGGATGCTCTCTCTGCGATAAGATGGACAAAGGAAAAAAAGCAGAGCCAGAGGTGAGATGAGAGAAGAGAGATGGGAGGAGGGCTATGAAGTTTTGCTGAATTGTAAATTGCACCGTTTGAGGTCCAAGTTTTGTCATCTTCCTTTCGGTTTTATTCCAAAGTAGACTGGAATTTGCTTCTAATAAGGTCCTCGTCCTCGTCCTCGTCCTAATTGTCTGGTTCCACGGCCACCACGAACGTGACGAGACGCCGGCAATTCCACGGAGAATGGGTTCGGTATTTCATCATCCTTTGCTGAATTTTGCTCGCAAAGATGGGTGTCGTGGTCGAACATGACAAAGATGTAGGAGATGTGTCTGTCAGTGTCACGAAAGGGGTCAAATAGAGAGAGTTAAAAAGGAAGGACCAGTACTTATCCAGGATGGCGCAGGGACGGGCCCGAGTCTGACTAAGGGTGTGCATGTCGGCAAACCGGACCAATACTGAAAGACATTTTAGGACCAATGATTAGATCAACAATGAAATTGTCCGCTTTGATATACGCTTTGGATCAATCCTAATATCACTTCGTTTCGTTTTCCTTAATATATATAAAATTCAAAGAATCGAAAATCAGACCACGTTATATTTGGTTCGATATAATCTATTTCAAGCAACAATTTTGTCCGGTTCAATATAATCCGCTTCAAGCAACATTTGGTGCGGTATAGACCAACACGTTACACACGAGCCAATTTCAGCCCTAGTCTCATACTCTCCGGTTGATTTGCTTCCCGAGTTGGCGCCGGAAGCGGACGGGCCTAGAAGCTAGAACTAGAAGCAGATCGAAAAAAGGCTGCTCCTTTCTTCAGCTCAAGTTCATTTCGGATCGATAAGGCTTCATATTGGATTTTGTTCAGAGGAAGAGAAGCCTTTTCATAACAAGCCTTTTGCCTTCTATCTTTTTTTTTTTTTTTTTTTTGTCATAGATAGTTGTATACTGTCATAGATAGGTGTACAATGCAGTATGCTTACAAATATGTAAAAAAATAAAATAATTAAATGCGGCGGTCGATAGCTAATCAATCCGCCGATAAAAGAGCCTTTTTAGCCACTCAAGGGGCAGCCCTGTCAGTATCCTAATATGCAACAAAGGATACAAGCGGGTACACAACACACGCCAAAACCTGAAAGTCGGAGGTATGTCATCCTTGGCAATAGCAATAGCAAAAGCAGAGCATCCATTCCCTGCAAAAAGAAACACAGCTAACCGCCAAAGAAAGCTTCAGGATAGCCTACACCAGCCTACAAGTTAGCTGCCGTTGTCATGCGCTCGTATAACCGCCACCAATCACTTGCTCTTACAAAACAAACAAAGTAAGATGCCCCAACGAGGCCCGTCAGTCTGCTAAAAACGCTTCAAGCCCACCAGGCTGGAGGCCCAACGCGGCTAAAATAATCCATGCAAATTTGACTAAAAGTGGCGAACCGAAAATAATTATCCATAAGACCATAACAGATTAGGAACGGAAGAAATAGATATAAATCAATAATAATAAATAATGTGGAATAGATAATAACAACTAGAAGGCCTGCTGAAGGGAATCGACCACGTTGATTAATAGCTCCACGCGTCCCATCCCACATCCCACCACCACTTCAAGTATCGGGAAACGCCAACGTCATCATGGTTAAGGTTGAATTGCCAAGAGAAACCATCAAGCCACCGTCCCAAATTCCAGAGGAGCTACTCTAGCGGCGGCGGAAATAGGAAGAGGGAGAGACTGACGGCGACAGTGGAGGTCCAAGCAACGGAATCCAAGGATGGAAAGGGGGAACTCATCTCTATCAACCCTGCAGGCTGCACCCATCCGTTGCCACACAGAGAAAAACATAGACAAATAGAAACCAGACGGAACCGGCGACCAAGCCAAATTAATGAAAGTGCAACACAAAATATACTAAGAAAACAAACGAATCTAAAAAAGAAGAATACCCAGCAAATAAGATGAATTCAACAAAATAAAGCTCCAACTGAGCAATCGAATTCCAAATTGAATATGGTAGATCACCAAAAAGATCGAAATCGAGATATTGGCGAATATCACTAGAAAGCCCGTTTTACCCAGTTAGCAGAGGGAGGAAGCAGCTGAATTGTAGTGAGGGCAAGGGGAAATCAGATGAATCACAGTTATGGTTTTGGAACAGAGAGCTCAACTTGTGATCGGCAAATCCTCCATGATCGATTCTCTTCCCCGAGAGACCACTTGGCAGCACCGGCAAACTAAAACCCTGTGTTAACACTTCCACTTGGCGACGGCGACGAAAAAGCTGATGACTTTCTTCTCGACTTTTCTTCAATCTGTTTATTGAACAGACACACCAAACTAAAACCCTGTCTTTTTCTTTCTGTTTACCAGACACAGAACATGCAACTTTTTCTTTTTTCCTTTTCAATTCAGCAATAAAGGCGACTCAACAGCCTCTTCGACTCAAGAAACTGGTTTTGGTCTATATGTTGGAAGGCACTAAGGCAGGGGTGAGGAGGAAGACAAGAGAGCTAAGAGGTTGGATTGACAATGGTTGAGTGGATTTTGGGTTTGTCGATCGGAGATTTGGTTGGGAGGGTTTGCAAAACTACCTTCTATCTTTTTGCACAAGCCAAGAAAGACGATTTACTTACGATGGATTGAGTACCAGGAACCCCTTCATGCATAGAACAGTCTTTCATGCGAACTACTACAGTTTAATTAGGCACCCAGCTTATGCCCAATGCCTCTTGTTGAACAATGGAAATTGCCGAATTCCCCCCAACTATTTACATATCAATCATATTAACAATGTGACGGGGGAGATGAGAACCGCACTTGCCGGCTTGCTGCAGCAGCAAAACATTCTTCTTGCCATCAACTAAAGTCGGACCTCAACCACATCCCCATCCTTGAGGGGCGTGCTGGGGATCACCAGGTGACCATTGACTGCCACCACCCTGCCTTCAAGTCCAACTCTGCGAGCCGCATCGCCAGCGGTGCTCCCGTTCCTTAGCCTCATTATGTCGCCATGCGGCCAACATATCACCACCACTTCCCCCAGAACCACTGTCGTTGCAGATGATGATGACAACGATCTGTCATTCAACGACATGCCATCACTGCTGCCCCCGCTGCTGTTGCTGCGCAGCTGCTCCTCCCATCCCAGCATTGCCCTCAGAAGTCGTACCTATCATACCAATTCAGCCACTTCCACGTTCAAATCCCATTCCATCCTACCTGGTCAAACCACTACAAACATTCCCTCACCTTGTTGTTAATGCTGGCAGCTTCCATTGGAGTAGTGGATGATACCGCAGCTGAGTATCCGATTGGCTTACCTGCAATGATTTCATCAACTGGCTTCCCTTCAAACACAGCTGCAACCACATCCCAGTACTCACTTTCCTCTTCCTCCGTCAGCTCGATCACCTGGATGAATGTTGGCAGCATCCTTTCGAATTGGTCTTGCTGCATCCCCCACCAACAAAGCACCGCAAATTTCGTTCAATACCACCCTAAGACTTATTGCATAAGAATTCATCAGCATGCATGGATGGATTACCACACACATAGAGTACATACCTTGTGGTACATACCATCCCGACAAAGTATAAACTTCTCAAGGAATGTGCACCAATCCCCATGTCCCGGCTCGCACCACCACTCGTCTGTGACTTTCTTGTAAAGTCTGGCGTAGGACTCCCATCGCTTTACTTGGCAGGAAGATTTTCTGTCAGCCACTGTCTCAGACGCAGCCAGCCCAGAGTTCACAGCGACTAGCAGTTCTTTCCCACCTTCGTCAATTCTAAAAAGAGCAACTCCCTCATGAAGATCATTTACTTGGTTCAAAGCTTGAGGATACTGAAGCTACAAGCAACATGTGACTGAATACCTTATTATAACAGCAGCAAGCAGGTGGCTTCCTTGTACTCTAAGGACTGGATGCCCCACTCTTAGGAATCTGTACTTTTGAAATTGACTCTCCTCGTAGTTTCCATCCCCATTACTTTTGGAGAAGTAGTAGCTTGCTTCTACTTCAGATTCATCCATGCTGCTGAAAGAAGGCAACTTGTTTTCGGCTTCTTTATAGAGCCAGTGTGCAGCAAGCCCATGCTCAGCGTAGTCATGCATTTTCTGCAGAAATAAAACCAATCAATAACAGCGGTAGCTTGAACAGGGGATTATTTCTTTGTGCAATGCTATTTAAAAACTTGTCCATGTAGAAGGCACAGAGTTTAAGGAACTAAACATATATTCAGCTTCAATGGAAGGATCATATGAGAAAAGAGAAGTTTTGTACCTGTGTTCTGATTTGAACTTCCAATGGTGCACCATCAGGGCCTTGCACGGCAGTATGGAGCGACTGCAAATTATAAAAGGAGAAAATCATTAGATAGTTACAAAGGAGAAACTTAAACCCAAACTAAATCCGAATTGTGAAAGTAAGCAAGGCAATATGAGGATAGTCACATCCAAAGAGGTTGGTACAGCTTAATATTAATAGTTTGGCCTCTAACTGCTGGTCCGAGTAGCTAACAGCTCAACATAAATAGCAGTTACAACAACGATTCTAAGCAGCATTCAATTTAATCAGTGAGGGCTCAATTTTACTTTTTACCTGATAGCCACTAGGCTTTGGGTTAATAATGTAATCATCAAATTCGCCATCGACTGGGGTCCATAGTCTGCAATAGAAAAAAAACCCCCCCAAAAAGCATGGTTTTTCAGGTCACCATCAAGTTATTTAGCGGGAATGAATAAGCTTTGGTTACAGACTGGTAATTTATGTCGGACAATTTCAAATGAACATTAACCATACTAAAGTAAAATACGGCACAGAGATGAATATGCACAAACTAACAAAGAAAAGAATGTACCTATGAACAACTTCAAGTAAAGTGTAGCAAGATTGAATTGCAGGTCCCCTCAAAGTTCCCTTCTTATCACCAACCACAACCCTTAGTGCGCGGGAATCATATACTTTGCTAATGCCAACCTCCTTTCTTTTCATCTTAAGAAAAACAAGAAGATAATGGAGAAACTCTTAGTTACTAAGTTTTTAGATACCAAAGCAGGTCATAGTTACCAGTAAAACATAGAATGAAAGGCCCAAGTGAAGTGGATATGAAAGCAAAGATTATCATCATTCTTGTATTTCAATTTTTTTATAGCAACTATGGCTGTAGCTAACATTTAATTGAGGTTCCACTTTGAGTAAGGGGTATGGACTAGGGAAAACCTTTTCTTCTTTTGACTCATCGAGCAGTTTATTTCTGAGATAGGAGTTACTTGAAAAGGAAAAGGCTGCTGGACCTTTCTGGTCTATACAGAAGGCTAATAATACCTTGCTGTAAATGCTGTACAAACTCTTTAGCCGACTAGATAAGGATACTTCCATGCCTGGAACGTAACTGCAAGTATAAGAATAAGGAGTTTGCATTAAGACATACACAAAAAGTTACCACCTTCTTCTACTAACAACAAGTCAGCAAAGTCGACACCAACACGAGATCTAGTACTATCTTCTCCAACTACAAGCAACTAAAGGAAAGCTAAAGGATGAATTACGAGGTTGAGATGAGCAGCTCCCTCTCAAGTGCTTCCTCACAAGTAACAAGAGATGCTAAGGCGATTCCAGCATCCAACACAACTTTTGGTCTTTTTGGAGCCTCATTTGTATTTTTCAAGCTTTCAAGAAATATGGCTCGTTTTCTTCGATCTGACAAGATATCAAAGGGCACTACAGCTTCCAAAAGATCCTGCAACAAGGGGAAGTAGACACTTTTGCTTGATCGTTTAGTGGTATTAGATGGATCAAATTTATGACTATTATTTTGTAACTGTCAATTTATGCTATGTAGTCTGGAAACAATTAAGTGCATACCTTGACAGACAAGGTATCTTCCTCTTCTTCTATGGCCCCAGATCCTCTTCCAACTGAAGTAAGTAAAGCACCTCTTATCGATCTTCTTACAGATAGATCTCTGGTAGTGGGACTCCACATAGAACCCAGATCAGCCCGCATCTTTTGAAACAATTGTGGCTGCAATTGATGTCAAATTGAAGATAATCATGCAGCTAAGACAATCAAACAAATAAATACGCAAATTCCTGTACATTCGTTTTGGGAGTTGGAGTTTCATTCAGCTCATAATAAAAGTAAGATACTTAAGACGGAGAATGTAACAATCTACAAACCTGAAGAACTGCAAAGCATAGATCTTCCAGTTCTGCTTTTAATGCCCATAAACCCAACCTAGAAGCGAGCGAGCACCAAACAAGTAATGTTTCTTGAGCTACAGCTTGAGCCTTTGGCGTTGGGAGGGCATAACTGGAGCACAAAGCATCAGAAAACGAATGACAATCAGTAGAGATCATAATTGAGTAGCATACTCTGGAGCAATCAGTTTGCCGAATGCTAGATTTTGATATTTCAACCATCAATCAATTTCATGCATCATCGATGAGATCAGGGAACGAACTAAAAGAGTTATGACAAATGTTACATGGCTCTCATGTTATTTTGAGGGAATGGAAAGAGACCAAAGATAAGAATTAATACATGGTTCTCATGTTATGAAGGCGGTCTGCAAGCTTGATTAGCACCACCCGTGGATCATCAACCATTCCCAAGAGCATAACTCGCAGATTATTAGCCTTAAGAGGACAAAAAAAAAAAAAAAACTTTTAAGAACCAATGCAACACACTTCACAAAATTCTTTAGAATCTGACCATTAAATCAATCTAGACACAACTACTGCTATTAACAATCAACCGGATAAAGATGATCAGTACCTCATCCTGGCCAAGAGTGGCCTGATTAACATGTATCCTGCGGTGTCGCCTCAGTAGCTGGAGCAATCAATGGAAAAAGAGGAACGCAAGAAGAGGGGGAAGCCAAGAAGGTAACATTAGTTCCGTGTTGAAGCAACAAAAAGAGGTTAGGTTGGAACTTCCAAAATGCTCTTGAACCTAACTACCCACCTGATTGATGTAGCTTAACCTGGAAACACCGGCAACCAACCTGGCAACTTCAACACCAAACTCTTGTTCAATTCGATTCAAAGTTTCATGAGTGTCGTCCACAACATCATGGAGAATCCCAGCGACCACTGTGTCAGTGGCCTACAGCAACTCAGTGAGAGATTACTGAAACAGTCAGGCTGGGGAAGGAAACCTCACCACCGATTAGAAAGAAAGATGGGGTAAAGAAGCGTACCCGTTTGCCGGCTGAAGGAACCAACAGGGCCAAGATTCTGGCGGTATGGATGCAGTGAGCCAAGTAAGGATCCCCGGTTCTACGGAATTGACCATGGTGAGCTGCTTTAGCGAATGCAATAGCCTTTTGCACCTGCCTTCACAACAGCATCAGGGTGTAAATAAGGGAATTCAATTCAGATTGAAGGGAGCAAAAACTCGCAACCCCGTTTCTTGAAGCGGTCGAAAGAGATGGTAAACCTGGGAATCGCTGAAGATGGAACAGCCGCTCACATCCACTCCTTCCACGGCAAAAGACTCTGCCCACCAACCAAAAAGAATCAGACAGAAATCGGGGCACACAGAAACAAGCGGGGCAAAGAGAAATTAGGCGACGAAATTCAGCTTACCGAAGGGAAGGTCTTGGAGTTTCGGCCACAAGAAGTCGACCTTAGTGGAGAGGCAAGCTCCGGAGGCGATGGCGAGTGCGGTGAAGGCGACTTGGGTGATGGCGGAGGAGACGGCGCCATGGAGGGTGGAAGAAGTGGCGGAGGAAGCTGCCGCGACGGCGATTAGGTTGGGAGTGGAGGCGACAAGGGAGGAGGAGACGGAGAGCCTCCTCCTAATCCTAGGGAGAAGAGGGGAGTGCGAGAAGACGAGGCATGAGCAGCAGCAAGTACTCTTCCTGACCAACATCATTGCCGGTGGTGGAAATTCAGGAGGAGAAACCCCAATTGTAGATAACGATGAAGAGGCATCAGCTCCGACGACTTCCCCCGCCGCTGCTTCAGGCAGTGCCACGGCGGACAGAAACAACGGATACGGTCACTGGAGAAATGGATGGAGATGAATGAGTGGTCGTTGGATCATCGTGGGTCTCGTTGGATGGCTGGCCGTTGGTCACTGGTCAGAAGCAGTTACTTTGGGAATTGTAGACACAACTCTCCTCTTTTATCCTTTCCTTCTTTTACCAGAATCTGCAGGGAAAGTTCAGACCGGCGCCTGGCTGCTTTGGGCCAATAGTTCTCTTTCCTGGACTGGGCTTAACTAAATGGGCCCGTACGCATGCCTAAAAGCCCAATAAAATTCAAATCGGCGCTTGGCTGCTTTGTGCCAATAGTTCTCTTTCCTGAACTGGGCCAAACTAAATGGGCCCGTACGCATCGCCTAAAAGCCCAATACAAGACCGTTTTGTGCTTCTTCCCCATCAGCATTCTCCCCTCTGATTAGCAGGGGGAAGAGAGCGGGGGACAGAGGATTCTGGCGGCTACCATTACCTCCCCACCCCAGCAATTGGATTCCACCGGCCGGTCTTCTCCCCGCTGAATACACCATTATCACCACTGCAAGCTCGAAAAGGTTCTTTATCTTTGTTTCCGCCCATCATTTTAATCGTACACTCAGTTTACTCTGGAGGAGTTGAGTTCCTCCGACGTCTTTTTGTATTCCTTGAATTCTCCCCGAGGCAACAAAGGTTGTTTCACGTATAGAGGTTGAGAGAAAAATGGTGAACTGGGCTTGCAGCTACAGTCTCCGACCTCTCTATCTCTCCAAAACTTGGGTTTCATCTCCTTGTTCTCTCCACTCCGACCTTCCACCAAATGTGATACCCACATGCTCTCCTCCTTCTCCTTTCTCAATATCCCTACGGATGCAAGCCACAGTCGCTGCATCGAAAGGACAGTCTGCGGAAGCCCCTCCCCTTTTCCACCTCGAATCTCTCTTGGATAATTCAGGAGGTGGATGGGACGACAACAACAACAATAACAACAACGGCAACCCTTTTGATCCATGGTGGAATGGTGGCAATGATCATCCTTCAAGTGGATCCAACAACAGTCATTCTTTCTTCTTCCTGTTATGTTGCTGCACCGTAGCCTTATCCTTCGTCCACTTACAGTTAGCCTCTTCCGCACTTGCTCGGGCGACTTCGGTGGACGGTGATGAGGATAGCGACATACCTAAGAGCGTTTGGGAAGTTCAGGGAGGGAGGAGGATTAGTCTCATCCCCGATTTCATCAAAGATGAGTTCTTTATCGCGCCATCATCTTCCCAGCATGACTACTACAGCTTTGGGAACCTCTGGTTCCAGTGCAAAGCTCTTCTCACCCGCCTCATGCTTCCTGAGGGCTTCCCTCACAGTGTCACTTCTGATTACTTGGATTACTCCCTCTGGCGCGGCGTCCAAGGTGTTGCCAGCCAGATAAGCGGGGTTCTTGCCACCCAGGTCGCTTTTACTTAATTCTATTGCTTTCTGATCACAATATGGTATGAAACTTGGAGTGAGATTTTATGTGGGGTTGTTGAACATTAGGCATTGCTTTATGCTATTGGATTGGGGAAAGGAGCCATCCCAACTGCTGCTGCTATCAATTGGGTGCTCAAGGATGGAATTGGGTATCTCAGCAAGATCATGTTGTCCAAGTTCGGACGCCATTTTGATGTCAACCCCAAAGGGTGGAGGCTCTTTGCTGATTTGTTGGAAAATGCTGCTTTTGGTTTGGAGATGCTAACTCCTGCTTTCCCTCATCTCTTTGTTCTCATTGGTGCTGTTGCTGGAGCTGGGCGGTCGGCTGCATCACTTATCCAGGCCTGTTCCCTACCTCTTGCTCTCTTTTTCAACTTTGTTGTTTGCCTTTAATCTGGTTGCATTAAGCATATCTGACTTGTTATGATGATATATTCTACAGGCTGCTACTAGGAGTTGTTTTTATGCTGGTTTTGCTGCTCAAAGGAACTTCGCTGAGGTAAAAATTTGTTTTGCATGTTTTGTTTACCTCCACTCGTCATGTCTTGATGTCACCATAGCAGTTATTCGCATGGTCTCCCTTGATGCTACTGGCTGTGCTATTCATCTACCAAGCTTCTATATCGATTGCTTCCCTAAACCAATTGTTGCTAAATGTAGGTGATTGCAAAAGGCGAAGCTCAAGGAATGGTCAGCAAATTTATAGGGATAATGATTGGTATAGCAATTGCCAACCAGATAGGCTCTTCAATTCCCCTTGCTCTTACAACGTTTGGTGTGGTTACTGTAATACATATGTTCTGCAACTTCAAGTCGTATCAATCCATCCAGCTGAGGACATTAAACCCTTATCGTGCAAGTAATTTTTGTACTCTCTTCTATGCTCTTTTCCTTTTCATTTAAAGACCACTTCTTGTGAAAATGCATTGCTAGTGCTCATCTTCGATCTTGTCATACTGAAAAATCACCTTGTTGATTGATGTAAACAGGTTTAGTGTTCAGTGAATATCTTCTAAGTGGGCAAGCACCTCCAATCAAAGAGGTCAATGAGGAAGAACCGGTATTCTCAGCTATACCGTTTCTCACCACGAACTCTGGTGGCAGAGTGAGTTATTTACTCTCTTTTCTCCTCTGGCTTTCCGAGGTGGGAGCCTTGTATTACTAGGCTCTGCAATTCTCATGGCAGTTGATTTGATTTTCCAGGCGGTGCCGGATGTTCTATCTTCGGAGGCAAAGCATGCGGCTGCTGAAATAGTAAAACGGCTACAGTTGGGGTCTAGCCTTGGTGATATTGTGAACAACAAGGATGACGCACTAGCGCTCTTTAGTTTATATCAGGACGAGGGGTACATTTTGACTGAACACAAGGGAAGATTCTGCGTAAGTTTTCTTTTTCTGCTTTACTTGCATCTCTAGAATCTTATCATTAGTGGGTTTGCTTAAACTTGGCTTTTTTTTACACTACAGGTAGTGCTTAAAGAGAGTTGTTCACCACTAGACATGCTTCAGTCAGTATTCCAGGCAAACTACCTTTACTGGCTGGAAAGAAATGCTGGAATGGAAGCAAGAAGCATCTCTGCTGACTGTGAACGAGGTGGGAAGCTGCGGTTGTCCCTGGAATACGTCCGTTGGGAATTCGACCACGCTAGGGAAGACAGTGTTTCAGTTGGCTGGGCGGCTGATGGACTCATCGCAAGGCCTTTGCCTAACAGAGTCCGGCTCGATGTCAATGCAGCAGCTACTGCTGCGGATGAAAAATGAAAAAAGGGGAAAAGGGCAAATATCCACGGGGCTATAATGCTTGCTCTGATTTTTTAGCTTTGCTCTGCGAACTCCCTGTTCTTGCTAACAGACTGATATCAATGTACAGTGTAGACTGTAGAGTGCAGAAGTAAAAATATGTTTAACCAAGTCACCTGGATTCTTTCAAACTGACTCTGTCCATTGCTAGTCAAGTGATTTGAGGAGGAAACAAAAACCGACTCTTGGAAATTTGTCATCTTTTGGAAGTTAATTTCTATCTGACCACCAATTTCAGTTTCGAAATATGCAAGCCAAACGAATGAAAGAAGCGGCAAATTCAAGCAAACTGCAAAGAAAAGAATGAGGTTTCCTGTTTAAGTTCCAGTTGCTTTTTGTTTCCTCTCTGCCACACAAAAAAGCAAGTCTAATGTACATTCATGTACCCAGGCAATTTCCCTGCCTTTGGACTAACTCTGCCTTCTCCTTCCGCAAATCACAAATCTCTCTGATGCCTATCACAATTCCATTCCGTGTCGAAAATCGAAAGTCAAACAATAACAATGACAAGAATATGCAATCCACCCCCCCACCATTAGTAAGCAACAATTGCTGCATTGCTTACCTCCTTTGAACCTACCATGTCAGTGTGTCTATCTATATGTTATATATCCATCTATCCTTTTGCCTTTCTTTTTCTGTCAAAAGGAATAAAAGAAATGAAGAAAGAAGGGGAACCTAAAAAAGAAACTTGTACATGTCTCCTAATGCTGCTGCTGCTGTACTTGTCTATAGTCTGTATCCACCTTAAATTATAGCTACTTGACTCCAAATGACGGTGGTCTGTTTATCTTCTCCAGCAACCTACTGAACACTAACTTCACAGGTATGCAAGCCACCGTGGTGAGCCCGGAAGTCTCCCCTTTCATAACCCCACCACCCATTTCACTGCTGCTGCTGCCGCCACCGCTGCTGCTACTACTTCCGCCCTTACGCTGTTGGAACCCTATGGAGGAGAGCATCCTTGTCTTCTGATTAGATGACAACATGCCCCCCGCTTTCTTCTTACCCACTTTCCTCATAGGCCGAGGAACCTGACCACTGCTGCCCTTCCGGACTCCACCACCTCCCGTCGACCCTCTACGACCCGAACCACCGACTCGGGGAACCTGGCCACTGACAGGCCTTGGAACCCTGAAATTATTGGTCCTCCTTGCAGTTCTCCAGGATGGTTGTTGAAGTACTGCAGCTGTATCCCCCTTCCTATCGTGGTGTTCGAATGTTGTCTCACTGCTACAGTGATCACTTGTGGAAACCAGGAGAGCATCAGTCGAGCCATACTCCAGGGGCTCGACTTGGATCGGGTGCCCGATTATTGCCCTTCCATCTACTTTGCTCCTGAGAGACACAATAGGAACAGCTGCTTCTTTCTGGTAGCTTGCTTTCACCTTCAAATCCACATCTATTAACATTGACCGCCCTCTGCCACCAAAAGGACTAAAATGATCCCCCCTGTAGCCCTTCCAAAAGCTCCTGAAAGCAGGACTCTCCTCCCAAGTGATGTCATCCCAACTCATCAATTTTTGACCAAAAGTATTTGGACGATGACTTCTCTGGAAACCATAAGAAAAGCCATCATCATTCAGCCGACCCTTGCGGGACTCGAAATATCGTGTCCCGTATTCATCATCGTCGTCGTCGTCATCATCATCGTCTTCGTCATCATCATCATGAACAGCATATGAGCCCAAGGTGCTTCCTTTTGTTTTGTAAGGGTGAGAGAACTTCCCATTGCCTCTGTCCAGAGACTTTCTTGTAAGATTACGTGTGTTCCTTTTCCCTTTCAATTGCCATTTGGACACTGTCTCATTACTAGCAAGGTAAGGATGATCCTCAAGATAGTGAGGAGGCATGCCACCAGAAAATGCAGAGTCATCTGTCTCCTCGCTGCTTGTAGTTCCATCTTCTCCATGTCCGGCCAAACCATCAAGTTGAGTTTCTATGGTCCCATCTGAAATATGCAAGCATATTATATTTATATAACAAAATGGACTAACTTTCAACTCACATATCTGAAATGATAAAGTTTATAGTCACTGGACAAACAAAATAAATCACTCTGGACACAAAAGAAAGGATAGTATTGCCAAACAACAAAATAAGGAAAAGTTTCTTCATAGCTGGATAGTGACATTCATCTTACATAGTATGGTTATGCTCAAGAACCATACATAACTGAAACATATGTCAAGACCATACCATCTATACCCTTACACAGAGCAACAACAAAAACAACTATTCAAACTCATTCAAGCCACTTCTTCGGCTCCATTCAAACTGGCCTTGCCTGGCAGCATTTTGATATAAAGAAATCCTCATCCATAAAACAAACATAGGATCTTTACCAACTCCAAAAATACGGCACCTAAAGCAATGATCATGGTGGATCCAGAATCATCATAAGCTAATAATTAGGCCAATATACTTGTGCAAAATACTAAACTTATAACAGGAAGTGGATCTTCTCCCAAATCATCACCAAAACGTATCTCATGTAGATGCATAAGTAGTTCACTAAACCAAACATCAGAAAGCATGCTTTCCTTTCCCAGCTGGAAAAATACCACAATCGCAAATGCGCACTGGGATCTCTCAAGTATCAATGTGATATCAATCAAGAAATGACAAAGCAAGTATGAAGATAGGGAAAATAAACAACCTGAAAAGACAGCCACTTCATCGTTCATTTCTGGCTCAGTAGCAGAGAAATCAGACTCGGAAGAATCAGATTCAGTAGAATTATGCCCAACATCCTCCATAAAGTCAGACAAAGAGTTTTCCACATTCAGCAAACTTGGTTGAGGATCGCGGTCATTCTCATCAAACTGTGACAGGGAGACATCAATGGGGAACATCTTAACCTGGCCTGAAGATAGGCCTTTATCATCCATCAACTCTCCACCTTCAGTTGGGAGGTAAACCAATTTGCTTCTCTTTGCACAAGAAAGAGTTTCGGGCTGCTCAACTCCTGAAACAAAGCAGAACCATAGTCAAATCAGGTTGCTATGAGTGCATTAGTGAGCAATATTTGGCCAAAGACACTTTACCATGTCTCTTGGCCAAAATTTTCTTAGTCATACCACCATACTGGAGAGATACTCACCATTATCAGTGCTAAGGGTGCTGTTAGCAGGGACTGGATTTTCTGGACACCTATTATCAAAGTCAAAAGAAGACAGCCTCCGCTTCAAATGGGCAGTTCTAAGCCCAACATCCCGTAAGTCTCTCATCCGCGGCATCTCATCAGAATGATCATCAGCCAAGGATATTTTGTTTCCTTCGCTCATTTGCAACAAATGCGTGGGACTGCTAACTGCCTCATCTTTGACATCTACTCTATTATGAAATTGGTATAGATCAGGTTTTGCGCAATTATTCCCCAGCTCATCATAAAGAGTGACTATTTCCTTCTTTGCAGATCCCGATGATGTCCTTCTAGAATGATCAAAAGTCATGCCTAATTTTCCTTGTTTCTTCAGGAGCTCCTTCTCAAGCTCAAGAGCATGAAGGATAGCATCTTCCCGACGAGCATACTTCTCCCTTTTCTTAATCGGCACCCCGTGGGAAGATTCAGCCTTTTCAATGCATTCATCAAAGTCCCCACATCTGAACGGCTTGACACGCTTAGACTTCTCAAGGTTATACCAATCCCTGCAACCAAGTGCAAAAGAAGTTATCAGAAGCAGCAAAGGACACTCATCCAGTGGGAGATAAACAGATCTTTGTGGATTCAGGGCCAACCAAATAGTTCAAATAGCATCCCAATATGTAAAATTAGTAGAGTATGCTTACATACCCATGATTTGTAGAATATGCATGATTCCCAATCATTCTCATAGATGAGATTGGTAATTGAAGCTCGCGAAACAATTTGTTCACTTCCAAGTTTCACTTCAACTACAGCATTCAAATTACAATGTAATAAAAGAACCTTGTTCCATAAGAAGCAGGCCAGGGGAGGTGCATTTGACCTACCAACTCTCCATAGCAGGAAAAACCGCAAACACAAGTGCATTGCACGGAAGCAGACCAACAAACTTAGAAGCTTTTGGACATTAAAAATGGGCTGCATCTTCTTCTTATTTGGGTACGATTTACTAGGCTTGCAGCTACTAACACCAGCGGCCAAAACTTACGGAGATTGAATCAACAATTAGGGAGGAGACAACAAACAACCAGGGATCGGGTCAATGCCCGGAAAAAGGAAGAAAAGAGATGCAAGGAAACCAGGAATAGGTAAAACTCACACGCTGGCGTCGTCTCTTCCGAGGAGCTTGACAGGGGTACCGGTTCGAGGAGAGGAGAGATTACACTCTGCAAGCTCGTCGGGACAAAGTATCTTGCCCGGCCACCAGGAGCCGTTCCTCCGACGAACCCAGACGATCGGACCTACTCCAGCGTCAAGTGCACCGTACTCGGAGCTTCCCATTGGAAGAGCCGTAGGTAGAATGAAATCTGCTGGTGTGCGGTTTGGCTGCGTTATGTGCAAGTCTCTTCACTACTCCGCCGTGCCGGCACTATATCACAACGCAGAATCTACTGGCTGGGAATGTGGGAAACAAAGAGAGGAGAGAGATGGCCGGTCAGCCACCGGGGAAGAAGAGAGATAAGCGGAGGGCGGTGAAAACAGAGGAGGCTGGTGAGGAAGGAGGGAAACAGCAGTGCGCCATTGAGATTCAGATTCAGATGTTGGAAGACGTCATGGTGATGATGATGATGAACTGGGAAGGAAGGATTTGGCCTTCTTGATCTCTAGATTCAGATGATGCAGATTTTGCAGGCCTGGAACTGGAAGTATGTTATTAATTTGGATTTTAGGGTTTGGTGTTTGTAGATTGTACAATTTTTTTTGTGCAATTTGGGATTTTTTTTCCACTCTTTGTTTTGTTAAGAAGCGAGGGAGAGGAGAGGTGGTGCGCACCAGTCTGGCAGTCCGGGCACCAGCGATTTGGGTTGGGCTGGCGGTTAAAGCTTGGTACTTTGGGCTAATCGCTAATGGGCTGTGTCTTTGTTGTGTGCACTGACCTGATCCGACAAAGTTGAACTATAATATGTAGGCCAATATTACGGTGCCGTTCTAAAAAGTGCGGCACTAGTGACGACGTTTCTGATTGGTCCACATAGGCTGCGACGTGCAAGTGATTTTGTTTAATTAAAATCCCAACCGAACTCTCGGTTGGGCCAGACGGCCTGTACCAGAGTGATGGAGTTCTCTCCGTTAAACGCTTTGTTTTTGTTCGTCTCTTGATCAATTAAATTAAAATTCATGAACTGCTATTTTGGCAGAATCAGAAAACAGAGAACAGGGATCGACCACCAGACGAATCAGAAGCACACTTCCTCAAGTTCCATCGCCGGCAGCCTCTACAAATGACGAGTACCATGCTCAATATCGACCCCTTCGCGCCGGCAGCTCCTCCTTCCGCAGCTCCCATCTCCTTCTGCCAAATTGGGGGATTGCAAGCTCGCCGCCTCTACATGCCGCGAGGCCCTGCATGGGTTCACCGGCTATCTCTGAATGTAACTGATTTGATTACGATTCAAGCTTAGATAAGCCTGCGAGATGCCGGTCAGATAGGTCCAGATCCCCATCGAAATAGACGATCCCTTGTTACTCAACGGCAGCAAATACTCCATCCCCATGGCCACCACCGACGTCTGCCTTGTCTTCGGAGGTTTTAAGAATGTGCTGGGTTTCCTCCAGTCTGATTTTCCTAGCATGGACATCATCGCCAGCTCTGGTAACTGAAACCACCCTCTTTCTCTGTTTGTTCTTTTGTGAGTGTTATAAAGGAATGAAAGTGGTCTTCACTCTACTTTAGGATATCTCAAACCTGACCTCGCGGTAATAATCTATGTACAATAAATGAAATTCGACAAGTGTTTGCCCTTCACGGTAAAGTTGAGTGGTGGATGAAGGGCCTTTTCTGCTGCACACGAGCTGATTGAGAGTGATTTTTTCATCTTCCATTTGGTCAACCCCCTAGGCCATAAGGTTTAAGGCAATGTTTTCTTCATTATGGAAAGGTGGATTCTTTCCTTCTATTGTTTACTCATGTCATCTCGGTTATTTATTTCTAGAAACAAGGTCACTAGTAATATAAAAGGAGGACAGTGAAAAGCTAATGATGTATGTAGTCTTTTACTCTTCAGCTTTTCCCATATTGAAATTTACTACCTAATTTGGGTTTTATATGTGACACCTAGTGAGAACTAGCTTATTTATCTCAAGTTATCGTTGTTGATGTGCAACTTCATTCTATGTGTCAAACTTTAGGAGGGATCTGTAGTATTTCCTTATCAATGGAGACCAAGTTTGGTCAATTCCAGGTTCTGGCAATCAAATGACTAGACACCTTTAATCTTCAGCTTATATTATTGACTGGATTTAGGAGACTGACACTCAGTCAAAACTTGCTTTCTCTATTATATGATGATTATACATTTCATTAAACACCTCATGCTTCCTTTCTTTCGTATGCAGTATGTTAACTCCATACTATACATAAAATTTTCTTTACAACATGTCTCTACTCGTAAGAAGAATGTTCGATTCATGATTTTGAGATTAAATTATGTGAGTAAATAGAGTCTGGAGAATAGGTCACAGCTTGGTGGGAGCAATGAAGCTCGAGAGTTCGGACGGAGAAACCGTGGCAAGAGAAGAGTGTAGTGATCAGAACTGTGATTTTGTTTGTAGAGTTTAGTGGTAGGTGAAATGATGACTAGAAATATGTTTTGTTGCGCAGGCTCTAATGTATGGAAAATCTCTTTATTCTCAAGGCACTAGTGTACTTGACTTCTCAATAATGCTATTGCATTTACTAAGAACTTTTGAGAGATAGAGAGAGAGAGAGAAAGTTGATTTGGTGAAGGCAGACCCTCAAGGAAGAAGGGTTGTTGCACTATGTTTTTATACCAGCTCGATCAAATGTATTAAGTTTAACAGCACTAATCCAACTTAGCCACGTGTCAACGAAACACGGGCTATTACAAACATAAAGCTATTGTTAATTAACGACTATCATACTAAACAACACGACTGCATTTTGTTCAAAGGTTAAGCCTCTAATGTAAAACGTCATCATCTTGGAACTCCTTCACCTTCGTTCTTATGCTTCTGAATCCTTCTTGTTGGGAAGGCTCTAATGTATGGAAAACCTCTTCATTTTCAAGGCACTAGTGTACTTGACTTCTCAATAATGTTACTGCGTATGCATGTACTGATATAAAGAGGAGGAAGCCTCTCGAGGAACATGAAGGCCATGATGGCTGACTAGATTGTACTGGATGTCAATAGATGTGACTCCCAACTTGTTTGTCTTGCGTTCACAATGGAGAAAAGCACCATCCACAAACTGCAAGTAGCACCATAAACATACTGCTAACTATTCAGACTGAGTTCTACCTTTTTGTCTACCATATACGAGTCAATACGACACTACTAGCAATCTAGCATTAACAAATGTGCCACTCACTTTTTACAGTCACTAAAATTCGACATTAACAAATGATCCGCATTCCATTACCACTGCTAGACTTAGCAACAAGAGGTCCTTCATAATTCTTGTGTTCTTCTTCTTAAAGCACCATAGTTCATCGTTACCTGCAAGCCAACAAACTATGTTAACCAGCTAGGCATGTATCATCTTCTCAACGACTTCTTCATTATGCCTTAATAACAAATTCACACAGTTACACTTGTTCAGATTATATCATGCACAAGAAGTAGGGACATAATAAATAAGTGAAAGAGAAGCTGGCGAAACTTCTACATATGAAAGATGTTGAACAAAAGGACTCTAAGGATCATTAACAACACAACCCTAAGGGATTAACCTATACACTCAGTGCTCTGTACTTCATGGCCAACCCCAATGGAAGACAAAAAACAAATTATGAAGACAACAAAATATAACACCCACCAAAATCAGGAATAAAATGCTGAGTCAAGTGATCAGTGCCACCAAAATCAACTCATTAAGCATGAATACACAACTATCAACTAAACGACCCTTTGACATTGAGCTCTTGCATGACCGCAAACCTATTTTGATGAAGTACCAGGATATTAAATCAGTCAGAAACCTCGCAACCTTATTGAACTTCAGGACTCATTCATTGTACAATATGTGGAGTCTGAAGGATAAATTAAACACCCAACGCTTTACGGTACCCTTTGACATTTGAAATTGAGATAAGCTACTTATACTGCTTGCTCTAAGATTACGACAGTGAGAATGGGAGAGAGAGTGTAAACAGTTACCTTCTCGCCATTTCTTCTCCAACTTGAGGTTTCGGGATTCTATACAATTGAGGAACTCGAGCTCAAAACTTCCCCTTGTGCTGATGAGGTTTAATATGCCTCCCAACTACTAAGTTACCCGTAAGTAGGACAAATGGGGCATAGAGGACCAAGAATAATGCTTCGTCACAGAATACAGATGGTCACCGATTTCTTGCATTCACTCCAAAAAGAACAAAACAGAGAGACAAGCACATGAACAAAACATCGATACCCAGCTGCTCGTTAAAGCCAAAAACAAGGGAAAACACACACCCAACATCCATTGCAAAATCTGCGACATGCTATTTTGAACGCCATAGGAAAGTAAAACGACCCCTCTAAATCTCCAACATCCACAAATACACAGCCGTCGAATGACCTGGAAGCCTTTTGATTAGGTGGGGAAAGTCCCTCCGTTCAATGATTCAATAAGGACCGAGGGCGAATCTCTTCTTCGTTGAATTAGGTTCGACATGTAGTATGTCGGCGGCGCTGCTCAACGGAGATAAAGTGACGTTGACGACCCAGAATTCGTTGCCATCGGTTTGCAGAATATATGAAGTAGGAGGAAACAGAGAATGATTTCACAGAGCTGTTTGGTAGGCCTTCAGATTGAAACGACTGAGGAGTCGTCTGAACTCCTGCTAGAGAGTTGCCGGGGATGGAGATTGACGAAGAGAACTGCTTCCCTGTTGCTTCGTTTTCTTTTTCCTGGGTTTCTGGCAAAGAAACTAACGGAAAAAGAAACCCAATAAAAACGCAAACGATAGAAAGAATTCGTCTGTTGGGTAGCGCGGAGTTCGATTTGGGCGACGGGTCATCAGGTTCGGGTCCGAATTAAACAAACCCAACCCATGTCACATCACTGCTTACGTGGCCCAATAAAAAATAACGGCACCGTAGTATTGTCCTAATATGTATTGTTGGACAATTAAATTGCAAATAAATTTTTTAAAATGTGAATAGGTGAACAAAACAAACTGGACACCGACCCATCCGTTCAATGCAAAATTGTTCCAATTATAAAATCTGTGAGTATTCAATTTTGTGGGTAGATACGAGTTTCATCGTCACCAAAGCCTTTGTGGTTTGTGAGGGGATTTGGATGGTCGTAACAAGTTTGGTCTTGTACATTTCAATTGATCCATGTACATTTAGTTTAGTCTTGAATATCCATTTTCTTCCAACTAATTTCTTTTCTGGTCGACAATCCACTATATCACATGTATCTTTGATTTCTACAAATGTTCTTGTTTAGCATCTTGCCTCTAACATTCTTCTTGCACAGATTGTTAGAAGGTATGAGGTTCTTATAGGTTGGTAACTGCCATTGAAAAATATTATATGTCTCTGGTTTAGTTGAGAATAATCCATATGAGATGAAATTAGATATTTTGGGCACCATTTGTACTTTCTGTGTAGTAATCACCAAGTCAACCATGAGATCTTTTGTTTCCGACTCACTTTCAAACGGGGATTTCCTGTTCTTCACTCTATGCATTTTATTTTTCTTCTTTCCCATTCTTCTTTTGCTGGTTCTTCCTCATAAAACTCATTATCTTGAACATCCATGTCTTTAAAGTT